AAGTTTAAGTGCTGTGTTATGTGATGATATAATGATACCTTCAATTATCATTTTATAATAATTCGATTTCTATCTAAAATCTTTTTAGAGTTAAGATTTTGTAAAGGCGATAAATCTCACTCCTTAGTTGCGAACTTCCACTTGACAAAATAGAAGATTCTGGCTTATTACCTTATGTGACTAATTGACCAGTTTTGGTGTCCTTGTTCTGAGATTTATTACAGTACCTCCATTTAGTCATTTCTAACTTTTGGATACAATAAAACCCTTCTTTTTAAAAAACTTGAAGCAAGCGATTTGGATACAAAGATTTAAAAACAACTAGCATTGAAATAAACTCAGTCTTGACTAAAATATATTTATGAAAGAGAAAGATAAGCTACTAATTATATTATTAATGATGCAGAAGGTTGGTTTTTTAATTTTCTGATTTTATTTTAATATTAATGCTTTATTTATGTTTATTAAAACTTTTGAAAGATTCTTACATCCTATCATTTGGAGTAGGAGGTTCACGATTTTCTTGTTTACGCTTTCCCAAATTTGCATACGTAAAATATGAATGCCCTCTCGTTCGCATAACGTAATCTATAATACAACTAAGCAGATCGTTAATTAATTGTGTTTTTATTAAGTTAACGTCAACGTTTATTGATTTTAATAGTAACAAATTGATTTGTGTAACTTCTGAAACTGGCTATTCATCACTAGGGGACCAATGCCGCAGTTGTATTGGCTAGTGACATAACAATGGCTTTCGTAAACATATTTTCGCTTTTGTCTCTTCGATACAAACTTGTCACTACCACTGTTAACACAATAAATTATTAATTGTACCTTTTCCCTGTCTCTCTCTCTCTCCTTCTCTCTTTCTTTCACCCCCGCAGTGCGTAGGCGGTTGACAAGTGTTTGACAGAGTATAAAATTTCATTTACTATATACAAGACATATTTATCTAGAGGGTGGAACTTTGTCGTTGTGTTTTACTTCACTGATTGGTTAAAAGCAATTTCTTATGGACAAGTGAATGAAATTTGTACATTATTTATAAAGGTACCATTAAGTGGATGATACACAACTGTACATGGACAGTTTGAAATTGTATCGTACCATGTGTTAAATTTTAACAGTGGATGAAAAGGGTAGACAACGAAGTGGGGGTGATTTTTGGTATATCAAAACAAAATCGGTGTATAAAAATGGTCAATATAATATCAAAAAAATTCTGATATAGTTAAGACGATCAAAGTTTGCATAGTCCTCAATAAATTACCTGCGAGAATGGACGTATCTTCTTTCTTGCTTCCACAAGGGACTGTAGTCATTTAGTGCGAGTGGGTAAAAAATTGTAAATGAATTTTCACATTAATATTTCATATTAACCACTATGAAATGTCAAAGTGTTTCATGTATATAGTATTAATGTAATTACATTAGTTAGACAGATCTGTAACATAATAAGTACGGTTTGTCGTTGTTGCTGTAGTCATCTCTCTTAGCTTAGTGGTCAGAACATTAGTGCGTAAAGCCAAAAGTCCCGGGTTCGATTCCCGGCGATGGTGTGACAACAGCAACAAATTTTCCCTCATTAACCTTAGGTAGTTTATGGTGGGTAAAGATTTGAAAATGAATTTTCACATAAATATTTGATATTAACCACTATTAAATGTCAAAGTGTTTGATATATATGTCATCATAAGGTCGTCAATCCTAAATCTAGTTGAACACGTATCTCCACTCTTTCCTATCCTGAGCTAATCTTCGCATTCCTCTAAAACTAGAACCCACATCCTTAACTATTTGCGAACAGTAATCTAATTTAGGTCTGCCTCTACCCCTCCTCCCGTTTCTGTATCTAATATATTTCTGACTAGACCTTCGAGTCTGAGAAGGTGTCCTACTAACCTATCTCGCCTATTTTTTATTGACTTCCATAGAGTCCTCTGTTGTCCTATTTATTTTAATATCTCTTCATTTCTAACCTTCTCTATCCACGCTATCCTCATCATTCGCCTATAAACCACATTTTGAAGTAAATAATGTTACCTGTTTGTATAAATTTTCATATTCATCTTGAGAAGTGGAAATTATTTTCTCCTTCGAAAATATGTATATGTGCTACGTATATTTTGTAGGATTTATTTGTTTAGTTTGTAAAGAAAGTGTTTCGGTTTTTATCCAAACAACATAATAATTCTCCTGCGGAACATAAAAAAAGTGTGGGTACGTTGAAGGAATGGCCTGTTTTCTTAAAACGTCTCAGCCCACGAGATTACCCTGGAGATTCGAGTCTGCAAAAGGCAGAATTTTATAAATAAATTTGTTTCAAAAGTGAGCTTTTATCGTGTTAGAAACTTTTTTAGGGACCAAAGCAAACTTCGTTTTATTATTTTGTTTCAAATTCCTATTCCTTTCAAAACGAAAGAATACAGATTTAACAGTGGCCTACATTTTAATTTTTTGAAAGCGTGTGTGGCAAAAGAAATAAAAGATTATCTACTGTAAAATTTACTTCAAGTGACTCAGTACGAACTTCAGCAAATTCTGCTATAAAACTGCTGTAGATCAATATTTCACTGCGACTACAGTTTTCGGGCTGCTTTGTCATGATCGATAGAGATCTAGTATTCCAAGTGAAATTATGAAACCACCAACTCTGTCTTTACTGAAGAACTATCAGCGATTAGGAGTAAGAAACGATTGAAAGAGTAGATCGTCGAAGAACTGGAGAGAATAGATTAAAAAAATAAATAGGGAGGAAGCCGCAACATCTATGTGAGAAGGAGAATAAAAAAGAAATGTAAGAAGCGTGCCACAATACCTTTGGGAGAAGGGGAAGAAAGAAGAGGAGAACTGTAAAAAACAGGGTAAGTGGAGAGACAGGAAAAAGTCACGATACCCATAGGAGAAAAGGAAAAAAGAACAGAGCTGGAAAGGATAGATAAAGATAGGATATACGCAGGAAGTATGAAGAAAATTACGATCAATGGGAGAAAGAAGAAAAATGAGTGGATAACTGGAAAGGACACGTTAAAAGAAGAAATAGAGAGGAAGTCGCAACATCTATGTGAGAAGGGAGAGAAGAAGAAGATGCAGGAAGCATGTCGCAACACCTACGGGAGAAGGTGTACAAAGAAAAGGAGAACTGCAGAGGATACGGTAAGAAGAGACGCAAGAAACAAGTCATGATATCCATAGGAGAAAAGGAAAGAAGGAGAGAGCTGAGAATGATAGATGAAGAAGAGAGGCAGGAAACAAGTCATGATATCCATGTGAGAAAAGGATAACAAGGAGATAGCTGAGAATGATAGATGAAGAAGAGAGACAGGAAGTATGAAGAAATTCACGATACCAGTGGTGGAAACAGAAAGGAGGGAGAGTAGAATCGAAATTAAAAGAGCAAAGAGAGGCAGGCGGCAAGTAGCAAGTAGCAATGGCAATGGAAGAAAGGCAAAGAAATGGATAGAGGAACAGGATAGGGTAGTGTAAGAAGAAAGGCAGATAGCAAGTTACCATACCAATAGGAACATGCAAAAACTGGAGAGAATAACTGGAATGAATATGGTATGAAGAGAAGCAGGAAGTAAGTCACCATTTGGTTGGTAATTTATCAAAACTGCTCATGGTGTGTGCTGATGAGGACAAATTACCGACAAAGTACTTCTTTTTATTTCAATCCACCCACGGGGGTCTTTGAACTGAATGTGATATGAACGAACAAAACAAATTCTTTTCAATTTTATTTTTCCCTGAAAAGAACTGATAATTTTATTGTTAAAGTAAAAAGTAATCATTTTATATATTAGCTACCTAACATAAATACATATATGTAACATAGGGTGTGCAGTATTGTGCTATTGCAGTCTTTCTAGGGTGTAATTTGTAAGGTTATTTACAGTTCTGCTAATGGCATATTTTGCCAACAACAGCTATTGGATTCTATCCAAACTCGCTTTGCTCTCTGTTCTGGTGCAGCGTGTGTTAATGCGGTTTTCTCTCGAAATGCGCAAATTGTCACATATGTGTGGACAATTACATGCAGCATCCCAGTATGGTATAACTATAATTAGTAAACGATATCTAAGTGGAGATACGATTCTGTTCTCGGTGGAGTTGGTGCATCTGCTATTGTGTTGTACGATGTTTAACGAAAAATATGCGGGTCAGTCTTTCAAACTGACATTTACCTAAAAGATTATTTGAACTTTCTCATTGTTAACAATAATGTAAAGCTGCTTCTGAATAAGTAAGGGAAAGGTATGATTCACTCTATTCAAAGGAATAATGTACTACGCCAACCGCTGATAACGTTAAATTATGAGATATTCTAGAACAAACAGAAGTTACCTTCTTCAGGGACTGAACAGTGACAGTCCCTGAAGAAGGTAACTTTGTTACCGAACAGTGCTTCGGACAACTACAGTGTCTTGTTTTGGCGTTGGGGTTTTGAGCTATTCTGTTTGTTCTACAACAACCGCCAAAGTTTTTCCAATCTTCATATTATGAGATATTCCTTAAGGTTTTCTTGTTTTATTTAGATCACCATTGGTATTGAAATTTTGCGTATGTTCTTCTATAGTAATTCTCCATGTAACTTTGGAGAAACTTCTGAATCATGTCTCTATAACTAGGTAGCCTTTCTTGAACATCTTGGAGCAATGGTGATTGTGAAGTTAAGGATTCTGGTTTTGTCATTGTTGTTGTCTATTGCTGACGTTTTGTCCCCCACCACATTGAACTTCTTCTTCTTCAGAGAACTTCTCATGATTATGATGATGATGAGTAATATGAAGCAGAAGAATTACTGAAGATGTCTGCGTGGTGCAGGACAAAGCTTCAGCAGTGGACAACGTAGCTCGAGTTAGATCCAAAATCTTAAACTTTGCAGTCAACGAAATTCCATATTTAACCTCAATCATGGGATGTTAATTGGAAGATCCATCAGCTCAAATCAATGAGTTGCATTATTAACTGATGACACTAATTAGTTCTTTTGTTTCAGATTGTCCAGCATCGTTAAGAGAACTGCTAGGATATTCCATGTAATCGACAATCCTGGATTACATAATGTAAGTACTGTAAAATAATTGAAAATTTTAATAATGTACAACATAATCGAGTGAGGTTCATTCGAAAGATACCAACATTCTAAGAATAACCTAAGTATGTTCTTTGATTTTTCATCAGAATCGTAGCTCTTGAGTTATAAGAAGTATTTACCGCGTACTGCGGACGAAACCAAGGCGGGTAATCGTTATATTAAATTTAGTCGGGTAAACTGTCATTCAAAAGATATCAAAATTGTAAGAATGACTTAAGTTGTTCACTTTTTTATCAGAATTATGTAGTTTTTAAAAGGTGAAGCGAAATAATGATGAAACAGTAAATTGCTCAAGAAAACACTCAGCTCAAATTTGAGGTAATTTATGGTGGATAACAATTAAATGAGTTTTCACATTAACATTAAATATAAACTACTATTAAAACAGTTCCTTAACGTACTTCATATGATATTAATATACATAAATTAGTTAGACGAATATATGACCTAATAAGCACGTTTCGTCGTTGTAGCTTCTGTCACCTCTCGTAGTCAGACTATTGAACATTGGTGCGTAAAGCCAAAGGTCCCGGGTTCGATTCCCGGCGGGGCTGTGACAACAGCAACAGTTTTTTCCTCATTAATTTCAGGTAGTGTGTAAAAAATTCAGAAATGAATTTTCAGAATAATATTTCATANTATAACAACAATAAATAAGGTCACAGTTTGGCATTACGGGCGAATAAAATTTTATTTTTAACCTTTATGCACATTCTGCACATTGTAAAATTATGGACTTGGCAGACAAACATTTAAACAAACATGCTATTGTATTTACGAAATTTTCTTCTTAACTGCATACAAATTGTTTTCCTTTTGTTAATAACATAACTCTTTTTACCTAAATATAGATATGTGTATTATATATAGATACGTAATAATAGATGCACTTGTCAAAATCGTTTTTTAATCGAAACACCAACAGCTAATGAAATGATATATAGTGTATATATATAATAATAACAATAGATTCCAAAACTATTGTTATCACATAACTTTTTTATGCTCCAGATTTGTTTAAAAAATAATGTTTATATATAATATAACAGTCGATTGCTAATTGATAATCTGAACAAAGTGATAATCCAAAGAATCCTTTGCAATAATCAGTTTGGATTATCGAGCATCCTTTATCCAAACACTACTAATTTTAAATTATTTTAGTATTGTGTGATCGTCAATGATCTTTGACTCGAACTATCATGAAATTTGTCATTGTCAGGTGTACAAAAAAAGGACATAGGGTGGCTTTTATCCAAAAAATAAAACAATACTGTTCCCGAGGGATCGAAAAATTAGTTTTATATAGTTATTTATGATCTTTGAAACGTATTTAGGATATCAAGAAGAGAGAAAAGCCCTGGGTAAAGCCCAGTATACTTCGTTTACTTTCTGTAGCGATCTGACTTCAAGTTTGACCGGCGCAAAGTAGAAAAGAACAGCAATAGGCCAGAAAAGAAAGGAGACAACTCTCTTAATCGGTGAGGACCATATAATCCGTACAGTACTGCACGGAAAAATTGACCATTTTATCCACTACAATTGCATTGCTCAAATGTTCTGTTATTGGTACCATTTACTACTGAAAATATCAACGAAATGTTTATTTATATTTGAAGACATATTAAAGGCTTTAACGCTTGTTTTCGACTCGCACTACTATTCATGATTGAACAAAACTTTTGGCAGGTACTGTATGAAAAAGTATGTTTAATGAACAAAAGTCGAGAGTATAATGAGCTTTTTTCTCCCTACCTACGATTTTGCCAGCGCGCACCCAAGACATTGGAAGGAGCACATCGCTAGAAAAAGTAAATGAAGTATACTTATTATATGTTTATAATTAGTTGAGAAGGCAAAATCAAATCAAAGCCCTGACCTGTGCTTTGTTTTAAATATGAAGTAATACATCAGTTAGTGTTGTAATATTCACATTCAAACCTTAATAATAGTTCACGACTCCTGTCTACCCACACGTTATTAATTTAATTAGAATTTTGACATGTTCAAGTGCCGAGGATAAAGAGTTAAAGTGATTTTACAATTTTACAACGTTTGCAAACTTTCATTTAAATTCCCTGCTATTCAAGGATATGCTTCCTAATATGGGACGTCGTTGTTTGTACTTCAATTTTGTTATAATAAATATGCATAAACACTTGTAAGAAGGCTCGTCGCGGCTTTTTAGTGTCGACACCCGTATCTTGTTCTAACTCCAGTCCATCTATCTGAGAATGTAGACGCAAAACCACGGCCAGAGTTTGCGTCAAACGCACGTCCATTCAAGTTCTAGCGGTAAACCTTGATTAATAAAAGCGATATTATAAATATATGCTCAACGAAACAAGATTTATAATAAATTCTGTTTTTAAAAAAGGAAATCAGTAGTTAATTAAAAAAGTTGAACTAATTATCACGTTCCTGTCATTATTATCCATTAAAATAGATTACGAAATACTAGTGTTAAAAGAGGCAATAAGCGCGATACATACCTAGAATAAATAATAGCCTATAATAAATTCAATTTGTAATAAAAATTAATACGAATAAACGTAAAGTAAGGGGGAAATATTTCGCCAGAAGAGGAATTGATATTAAAGCGGGTGTCATTGGCACCGAAAGTAAGAAAATGCTGGATGTATTTTTTAAGGGTAATGTTTCTTTGAAATTAACTATTTTGGGACCTCCTTGGAAATTTGGTCTAAACCATTTTAGTTTAGAGGTGTAGAAAACAAACTGACCTCATTTTTTGATTTGTATTTTCACAGGGTTGTTTGGTTTTCCATTATTTATTCCTTTGTTTAAGTTTTGTTTGTCCACTACATTCTTATTCAACGTCATCATCATCATCATCAAGTCGTCAGTCCTAAGACTGGTTGGACATGTACCTCCACTCTTTCCTATCCTGAGCTAAATTTCCCTAAAACAACCCATATCCTTAACTATCTGCGAACAGTAATCTAATCTAAGTCTACCTCTACCCCTCCTAACTTCCTCTGCCTCTAATGTGTTTCTGACTAGACTTTCATGCCTGAGAAGGTGTCCTACTAACCTATCTCACCTATTTTTTACTGACTTCTATACAGTCCTCTGTTCTCCTATTCTTTCTAATAATTCTTCATTTCTAACCTTCTCTATCCACGGTAACCTCATCATTTGTCTGTAACACCACATTTTGAATGCATTAACCTTTGCTCCAAACGTACACCTTTAACAACATTTTTCGGTACTAAATTAACCGTTCGTGAGCATAGAAGTGACTTCTTCTTATTGAAGGCGACTCTAATCTGCGCTATCCTCTGCTTATCCCTACCACTCCTTTCGTCCTGACTTATCTGGCTTCCTAGATATCTAAGATAGGTCACTTCTTCTAATTTTTCGTGTTCATCTTTATATTCGCTCTTTCCCTACTTTTTCTTCCATTGCATATCAGTATTTTTGTTTTATTTTTATTTATTTTCATGCAGTACAGTTTTGTCAATACCGCTTCCATTTTATTTAAAGCTATCTCTAACTCCTCCTTGCTAGATACTAATACTGCTATATCATCTGCAAATCTTAGCATACTAATCTTCTGCCCCTGTATATCTATCCCTACAGTTGTACTGTCTTTAATGATGTTGATCGCGTCTTCGATGTATAGATTAGTTTTAGGATACTTATTCAACGTACAATTAAAAATGAGTGATTTTATATTCATCTTCATTAGCCCCAAATTTCAGTGTTCTAAAACGTTCGCAGCAGTGGGAGTTGGAGATATCGATAAATGAGTAAACCGATATGCCAATTTACCTCTTATTTGCTTTAAATTGATAAACTCATTTGCTTCACGACTTTGGTATTGCAGATCTTGGTATTGGATATATTCCTACATACATGAAAAGCTTATTAGGAATAGTAAATGTTATGAATGTGATTAAAATGCTAAAAATGGAGTAATGCGTTTCCATACCTATAAGATCTTTGCTAGATCTTCATATAACTCTATTCAATTTTGGAAGCATTTCAACAGAATTTACAGTATGAAACATGTCGCTGAAAGCACCATAATAGCGTGATATAAGGCGATTAGGCCATAAATTACGTAACGCTAATTAGGGCGTTATGATCTTATTACGTGGGCAGAGGGTAGAAGGGGGTCAATGTTTTCGTTGCGTAACGTTTTCAGAATTTATTTCAGACTGAATTATTGTTGGAAATTAAAAACCTTTCTCAGTTGAAGCCTGCAGCTTTTGCAGTGACGAGGGGGTGGTTAGCAATTGATAAATTTTGAGTTCCGTAATTTAGCACAGCCCCTTACGATCAAGGAATTGTGTTCTTTGTAGTGGTTCAATTAAATGGCGTGAAGAATATTAAATATTAGAAAAGTATAGGAAGATATCTTTTGTTTCTTTCTTTATTTCTTTCTCAGTGGGCGTCTTTACTATGTACGAGGGCGGTTCAATAAGTACTCGTGTTTTTAGTTTTTTTTTTATTTTTCAACATAGTCCCCTTCTGCCAACGACCCTGCCATTTTTTACCCCTTCAAAAAATAAGATTTGTCGAACTCTCCAAAATCCCCCCTGTCTCGGCGATGACTTCCTCGTTTGAGCTAAATTTCTTTCTCGCTAGTCATTTCTTCATGTTAGGGAACAAGATGAAGTCACAGGGAGTCAAATCGGGGTGTGCGGCAGCAAATTCATAACGTAATTCATGCATTTTGGCGGCAACAACTCCTGATGAATGTGCCAGTGCGTTATCGTGTTGAAAACGCACCTTCTTTTTCGTCAAATGCGTCCGTGTCTCCTTCAATTTTTTGTCGAAACGGTCCAAGAACTCACTGTAGTATTGTCCAGTGATCGTTCTTCCTTTTCCTAAAAAATCCGTAAAATGATTTCCTCGGTAACAACGTTTGCCAGGCTTCCTGGTCGCTCCTATCAAAAACGGATCTTTGTCCACGTTTAAATTCGTTGAAGCAATATCTAACTG